ACAACCGGACCAGCGATTTGGTCGAGAAGATAATCGACGACATCCCGGGCCGTGACATCAATTGGCTCAAGAAGAAGACAGGTCTGCCTATAAGCACATACTTCTCGGCGCCCAAACTCCGGTGGCTCATCGATAACGTGCCGCCAATACGCGAGGCTATCGACGACCAGCGGCTACTGTTCGGCACAATCGACACGTGGCTGTTGTGGAAGTTGACGGGACAGCACTCGACAGACGTGACTAACGCCAGCCGAACGATGCTTATGGACGTCGAGTCCTGTCAATGGGACCCCTATTTGTTGGACTTTTTCCGTTTGCCCGCAAATATATTGCCACAAATTAAGTCTTCGTCCGACTATTTTGGCGATTTGTTGGTCAGCGAACTAAAGGGAGTGCCGATCACTGGTAGGTGCTCTCCCATATACCCACAACATTCTCTCTCTCTCTCTCTCTCTCTCTCTCTAATTGACGACTTTTTATAAAACACGGTGTAATTTACGCTAATTATAGGCGTTATATCGGACCAATCGGCGGCACTGGTGGGCCAGAAGTGTTTTGGTTTGGGCCAAACGAAGGTCACGTGTGGCACCGGCTGTCATATCATACAAAACATAGGCAGCGGACCCATTCACGGGGCGCTGGAGGGCGTACCCAAAGAGGCCAAACATAATCTACTGCTAACAATAGCGTACAAATTGGGAGCACAGCCCGCCTGTTACGCCCTGGAGGGCAGTGCGGCCATAGCCGGGGCCGCCATCACTTGGCTCAGGGATAATCTCGAAGTGATTAAACATTACGGAGACGTCGAGAGTATCGCTCAGATGGAGGAGAGTTGCGGTGGTGTGTACTTTGTGCCCGCTTTTCAAGGTATGTGTCCGAACCCTCCCGGGGCTGAGAATTTTGTTTTAAAATTAATTTAAAATATAAAGGATTTTTTAGACTTGAGTTTAGGCCTAAAAGGCAAACGTGTGTTGAGTTTACCGAGAAATGTGTTGAAAGTGTTTTAAAAACCCTTTGAAGCAACAGTTAAAGTCTAGAGAGTGATTATTGAATGAAATGCTAATTTCCGATATCTATTTAAATTAGATTTAGTGTTAATGATATGTCAATTACAACACTGCATAATATATTTCTCCACTCTTTAGTGAAGTGATTAGATATACAGTTAAACACAGTTTAATACCAATTGATTGCCAAATGTGTATAACATCAAGGGGTACATGCATTTGGAGTACACTTTATTTCAGTACACATTAATAAATTACTTTAAATTTATATCGTTTATTAATATAAACCTTGATTTTTTACAAATTAATTATCAGTTTAATAAAATACACATAATTTAATGATAACTAATTCCAAACATTACATTAAATTATACGATTATTATCAGCTAATAAAACGTACACTAAATCACTGGTTAAATATATCGATAAATATAAATCAGA